CAGTGAACGAATGGCATATACCTAGGTTTCCATTATGTAGAATTCTGATAGATAGAGTCGAATCATGCTGAACCACTTAATTAATTAGGCTAATGCAGACAAATTTCTCCTTTTTGCGTTTGTCATGTTAGTCACGAGGAAGCATCAGGACAAGACATGTGGTGGCACAAGCTAGATTGTAGCTCTAGTCAGTAGTTACCAAGAGGTCATCCTAAAGTTTATGCAACCACAATATCAGCATTATTTTGTGTACAACAATCATACATCTTTATTTACATATTTATTTATCTATTGCTGAGAGTGCATCTTTGTTTTATTTCTATTTTGTGTGCATAAATTATTAAAAATGCCTTTGGGTGTGGTTAATATCAATGATGTAACCAACATACCAAATGCATAAAAAGGGAAAATTTGTCCCATTGGACAACTTGAATGATCTTTTTTTCAATCTCAAGGGTGTAATACTGTAATCCCCCACCAAATCCATGGTTAATTACTTGTGTCAGCTACGTCAAAGTTAGTTAATCTCATGCACTCATTAAAATTCAATTCTTTGATGCATAATACTTTAGGTTACAAAGCAGGGAATGGCTCTTTTGCATCTCATAATCTGTTAATTTATTCCAAGGATTTGAGACGTGGCAGTTGAAAGCTATGACCAATTTGTACACTAAATTTTAACTCGATTAACATTCATTTAAATTTAGGTATACTTTATATTAACGTATTTAGTTGATATGCTGCAAGATACTATTTTCTTTAGCATATGGCAGCTTGAGCAAAACTAGAGGTGTCAACTAGGTCTAGTAACCTAAGAAACTATTCACTTATACATATTGGATTAAGAGATTTGAGCCCAAAAAATTGAAGACTTACTCAAAAAAATCATTCTAATTTACTAAATAAACCATCCATACATCATGTCAAGGTCTATTTAGCCATTTATTTAGATTGTAAGTCTATTTTAGTGATAAGATATTAGATTATAGAATGTGTATCTGTTTTCAGTTAACCTCAATGATATAATAAACCAACATACCAAACAGAAAAGCAAAAATTTGTCCCATTAGAAAATCTCTATGCTTTTCCTTCAACCAAATCTCAAATTTAATCATCTGAGCCAACTTTGTTTTAACACCGTGCATTACAGTTCACCTTTTCATTTGTACCTTGAAATTTTAAATTTGATCCACATTCAATTTGAACTCCAGTTGTAACTTCTTCTTCTTCTTTTTTTAAGGCCAAAAACTTTATGCAACTCAGTTGTAACTTCAATTACAAAATTTCATTGACATATTCTATTGAATATTAAGGTATTAACTTTTTTATAGAATTATTCCAAATTATTGCTGATCATTATTCAATACAAGAACTCTGATCAAGTCCATGATTGGATAATTATTTTAATTTTTTAAAAATCAACACATGAATTGAAAAACCAGTTGATCTTGCTTTTGACATGCGAAAGCTTCATCTGGATTATATGTGTAAATCATCATGCCTAGCTTATAATCTTGAAATTTTCTCTTATAATATGTGCTGTTATACATAATTTACCAATTGTTCTAGTGTAGGGTAACAAATTATAAAAATGTTTTCTCTCTTTTTTTTTCTTCTTTCAGCCAAACTAAAAATGTCTCTGTTTAGTTAATTCCAATGGCATTAAAAACCATCATAACAAACAGAACAGGGAAATTTTGTGCCCATTAGACAACTTCAAATTCAATATCTCTAT